AAATATTTGCTTTCACGACTCAAATATGACTCATAACTTGCACTCGTTTTAGAGTGCCCTTCTACGAAAGAAAATCGACGGCTGAGTGGAAGATCGACGTATTCCGGCAGCCGGTTCGAAAACGCCTTATCTCAGAAAACTGGGTTAAGAACGTCTTATTACAGAATTTGATTGAAACTCAGAATTTGGTTGAAGAACACCCTATCTCAACTGAAAATATTTTCCAAATACATACATATGTACATATGTTACGATGGGCGAACACCGAATTCTAAAATAGAGCGTTCTTCAATTAAATTCTGAAATAGGTCGTTCTTCAACGAAATTGGGCATTCTTGAAAAGTTTTTAGGATAAGCTGTTTTCGAACTGGCTGCCAAGATAGGTCGATCTTCCACTCAGCCATCGAAATATACTCTTTTCTGACTCTTTTTGAGGGTTACAACAAAGGCGAATTCATACAAGGGGTGCTACCATGGTGAAACGAATATAGAATATTCTATCGGTATTGTCGATATCACCATGTAGGTACAAATTCGCTTTGGTTACAACTTAGAATTTTCAGATTTTTCTGAACCCAAAATGAGTGCGAATTTTTAGGTACTGGGTATTCATATACGAGTCATACGAGTTTATGTAAATACTAAATTGATGCAACATCATGACCGCCGGGCTTTTGAGTATATATGTATGTATGTATGTATGCATGTATGTATGTACTTCATACAATTTCTGTGGGTGGAAAGCAGGAGGTTAGGTCATAGTGACAAGTATTCACATGTGGATACGTTTTTGCATTGAGTCTACATTAGGCCCAGCCGATTTTCAGTACATATATGCTTTATGAGTAGGTGCTGTCGTTTAACTAGTGTGAATCACCATTAATTATTCTTATCAGGTACTCACATAATATTTACGCATGAATACATATGTATGTATATAAGTGAACGGACTTGATTTTGAAAATATGTAATCATGAACAAGTACTTAGTACCAAACCCGACACATACATATATAACTACATATGTACATATGCCTGCACATAAATACTTATTTATATACTTATTTAGTTCAACTTACCGTGATGACTACATCTTTAATTGCATTCCGATTACGTATCACTATGCCTCCTAGGGGTTTTTTGATATAAATTTTCGGCATTTTGTTGCTTATCCTAAAGACTTCCCAATGCTCAAAAAATAAAACAATTTACTGAATACTTTCTGTTCTTTTGCAGTGCACTACGGAGCAAGCAAACATACAGGTGTTTTTGTTTGAAATATATTTTCCTTTTGTTTTATGGAAAAGACAGCAAGCAGGCAGCTGCTGCGCCAAGGTTGGCGCTTTCCGCCGTTTTTGTTTGTGATGCGCTTTTGATAGCGCTTATGTGTATTTATGTAGCAGCAGATCTATTGTTTTAGTTCGAGCACTATCATACTTTTTGCATAAATTACACTTTAACGCAAATTGTTTTAACACTGGTCACGGCGAGCGACAAATCCACATTCCGAGAAGCGAAAGCAAGAACTCAAAATGAAAATATAGGCAATTATTTTGCTATCAGCGGTCTCAATAATTCAGAAATCAAGTTAATTGCCAGCCGACCGAAAACGCGACACAATTCCTTTCCGAACGCAATATAAAACACATCGTCGTGTTGTTAGAGCTAGAACTTTGGTTGATTTTTTTCAGCAACCCAAACCCAATAGCAATGAAATCACAGTTGATAAACTAAATTTCCTGCACTCTCAAAAGCACTATACACAAAATCCTATTGCTTTTTAGCGATATTAACAATTTAAAAGCACTATATTTAGTTTTACTTCCTTGTATATTTATTTAAAAGCAAATTGTCGAGACGTACTAAAAGAAAAACACACTCAGAACATAGAACGTGCTGCCATATCTTACAACCCAATTTGACATTTGCCTGGAATGCACTACCGGAAGTACAGGGTGATGAGTGATAAACAGGGTGTAGTGTAGGCCGTATATTTTAGTTTTCTTTACATTCGCAGGGTGCTTTTAAAGACTATTTGGTCCGTCATCCCAAAAATTTTTTTTCTCATTTTCGGTCGTTTTTTTTTTGTAGTTATTCGAAAAATTTGTTTGATAATGCATTTCCTAACGTTAAAAAATACGAAATGTAACCAAGCATTACTTCCACCCAAAATTAAAGAATTCGTTTCGAATAGAAGAAAAATTTTTGGTGGTCTTCACAACGAAATTGGTATAAAATAATAAACCGAGTCAAAAGTGAAAACCCCTTTGAATTGATAAAAAAAAGTTCTAAATTTTCGGGCATATATCGACTGTTGAGTGGAAGATCGACCTATCACGGCAGCCAGTTCGAAAACGCCCTATCTCAAAAAAATTTTTCAAGGACGCCCTATTTCAGAATTCGTTTCAAAAACGCCCTATCTCAGCTGCCGATTCAAAAACGCCCTAATATCAGCACATTTTCAATACATTTTGAAGTAAGATAGGGTGTTTTTGAACCAGGTTCTGGGATAGGGTGTTTTTCAATAAAATTCTGAAATAGGGCGTTCTTGAAAAGTTTTTTTGTGATAGGGCGTTTTCGAACTGGCTGCCGAGATAGGCCGATCTTCCACTCAGCAGTCGATATTCTACCACCATCCCGAATACTGATAAAACCGGCGACTCGGTTGATCCCACCGCTCGATAAAGCTTTCAAAATTTTCTTTTCACAAATGCATCTCTTTTACTTGAAAACTATAATTGCGCAAACGTTGATGCGCGTATTAGGCATTTCCAGCAATTATATTTTAGAATTACGAGACTGATGCTTTAGCTTGAGCAATTTCTGAACAGGGAGATATCTACATACTTGCATAATACTTGTTTCATTATTAGCATTTATGAACTTTCATATAAATTTAAAAACTACTTAAGTTATCAGATTTAAAAGTACTGCCGCTGCTACTCATCATCGCCATCATCACTATCATCGCCATTATCGCTTGGATTTTCTTCATCATCGTCATCATCGTCTCCACCTTCTCCCGCTGATTCCTCATCATCATCATCATCTTCACCTTCCTCATCATCGTCATCATCATCATCATCATCGCTATCATCCTCTTCTCCACTATTATCTTCTTGAGCATCGTCATCTCCACTCTCTTGCTCATCCTCACCTTCTTGTTCCGCTTCGCTGTCTTCTTCATCGTCATGCTCTTCTACAGAGGGTTTTTCATCCTTAGCCTTCTCTTTGTCAGCTTTATTAGCAGTTACACTATTTTCAGTTTTAGCCTTCTTTGCTGGTACGACGCTCTGTTTTCCTTTAGTCTTATCATCATTTTCTTCAGCTTCCAAATCTTCTCGCATTTCTTTCAATTTCTGCTTACGTTTCACCTCATTCTTGGAGAGTTTCAACAATTTACCTTCTTTTGTCATGTTGAAATGCGATAGAACTTCGTTTGCTTCTCGTTTCATTTTTAGCAA